GCAGGACCAGAGCCTGACCTGGTGGTTTCTCTCCCTGCAGACTTTGAATCCATGTTCCCAGAGGTGAGTCCCAACCGCCTGACCGTGTTAACTGTCACCCAGAAGACCAAAAACGACATGACTGTGTGGAGCCAGGAGGTGGAGGATGAGAGGGAGATGCTCTTGGAAAATGTGAGTGCCTGACCCCAGCAGCAGCTTCTTTTGGTTTGGAAATTAATCTTTTATGAGCCACCTGTGTGTCTTGGTTCATTTCTAGCTCATATATTATGTTTTTAGAGCATTTTTGGGCTATTCCTGTGTTCTCTTGCTGTTTAAATGGAGATCATTTTTTTGCGGGTTTAGAGCTTTTTAACTACTTTCTGTGAAACATCTCCTTAGAATTATTAAATTCATTATAGGGGAATGAGTCAAAAATAGGCTGAAATGCCACAAAGATTAATAAAGAAGTTGTCCTGATCCAGTCAAAGGGCAGAAACTATTTTCTCCCCTTAGTTCAACAAAATATTTTGTTGGGTTTCGCTCCTGTCTTTGCTTTCCTGTGATTTAATTGAGATCCCAGTACAAAGCCTGTGGCTTTCCTGGTAAAAGGTGCAAAAAATCACCAATTGCTTTGGTGGTTTTGTTTTTTCTATTCTTATAATGGACTCTGTTAATTCTTTTAACCTGTTATATTTACATTTATTTCATCTTAACCATCCTCATGAACTTTTTCCATGTTCTGTTGCCACTAGAGGGCTCTGCAAATCACTTTATTTCCCCTTTTTTTGGGGAATTTTGTGTTTTCCCCCGGCAAGTGTCGCTGTCCACTGCTGCCATTCTCCCTTGGCACCTCAAAATACAACATTTCTATCCCATATTTGTTGTCATTCTTCCAAAATCGCCCTGTGGGATTTTTATCTGTGTAGCAAGTGTCGTATTTATGTCTAAAATTAGTCTGGCAATGTCCTTTCCATCCTGTAAATGCAAGTGTGGCCTCTCTAAAGCAGTGGCAGGAAAAAAAAAGGAAGCAACAATCTGAAGGATCAACACGAAGATTACACACAAATTAAAATTCCCTTAATTTCAAGTGTGTTCTTCTCTTTGAATTACTTCTGGTCTGTTGGTCTTTGGCTTTGTAATCTGGTCTAATTATCTGTTAATTGGCATCTTTCTTCCCTGTGCACCTCCCTGTCAGGTCTAATCCAGTCACTGCTGGGGTGTGAGGATGTTGGTTGTAACCTCCCAGCCCAGAGGTTACAAACAGCACAATTCACAGGGGAGTTGGGATGTTTTCTGGGGAGATTTCCCCTTAAAAATATTCAATATGAGTGGCCTGTGCTAAAGAAACGAGGCTCACGTGCAGCCAAGTGTAAATTTTTCCAGTAGTAGAAGATATTCTGGATCAGAAATTTAATGTCTAAAATGCTGGTTTCAGGCGGTTTGATTTTTATTGGGGACTTACAGTTGGGACACAGTTAATCATCAGAGCCATCAAACCTCAAAATACAGAAGAATTTACTGGGAAGGGTAAAATTCCCTTATTTTCGAACCTTAAGAAGCTGAGTAACTATAACATTTCTGTAAATTTGAAACCTTGAGCTGCTGAGGGCCATAATTGGGAAGAATAATCCATTTTTTTTGGAACTGAAAGTAAATAAAGGATTTATTTAGAATAAATACATAGAATAAAGTTAGAAATTTTTTTTTGTTTTATGAGATCAGCGATATGTGTAACAAAAACCTCATTTGATATCCTTCTTTTCCCATTTTTTTTTCCCCCTCTTTCAGTTCGTTAATGGTGCCAAGGAAATTTGCTATGCAATTTCTTCTGAGGGCTACTGGGCTGATTTCATTGATCCAACCTCAGGACTGGCAGTAAGTGTGAAATTCTCCTTCTGTCTGGGTTAAATCCAACATTTTTTTCAAGTGGCCCAAAAGGATAATTCCTTTAATAAATCAAGGCAGTAACCCTGAGCCGTTCCCAAAGTGTTTCAGCTCTCGTTGCAGTTGGCACTTTGAGGGAACAAAGTTGGATTTTGGAGAACTGGAGTTTTTTATGCCCAAAAAAACAAACAAACAAACAAAAAAAGGCTTTTGCTCACTGCACAAGAAGCTGGTTGTGCCCTGCCAAGGTAACTTGGTAAGCCTGACACCTGTTTGTGTGTGGATGGAGGGTTTAAAAAGCCTCTTTGCAGCAGAAAAAAAAAAAAAAATGAATAATTGTTCCTGTCAAACAGTGTGTGCATTGATTGTGAGATCACACAGCTCTCTGGAGGAGCTGAGTTTGTTACCGAGACATTTATGAAATAAATTCACAGGAGAGGGTGGAGAAAACCTCTATCAAAGCAAGAAATCTGTGTATTTTTGCCTGAGAACTGTTCAAACCATATCACAGTTCAACATGACCGTGGCAGAGCTCAGCTTAGTGGGGGTTTTATTTAAAACCACTGTAAAAGGCAGGGATTTGATGTGTCTGTGCACATTATAAACAGCCCCTATTAAACCTGTCTGTAAACAGCTTTAATAAGGGGTGTTAATAAGGGCAACATGCACTTAAGGTGCGTGTAGGGCTTAAAAACTTCCCAGAAATTCCGTGCATTTAAGGAATAGTCAGGGATTGATGAAAAAAAATAAGGTTCTCAGCATCCGGTTCAGAGATATTGCTGATTATCAGGACAAGTCAGAAGCTTCTTCCTGAGGTAAAAACTGAAATACCTGTTGCCAATTCCAATTTAAGCCCATTTTTGCTCTTCAGAGCAACTTTTTTTTTTTTTTTTTTTTTTTTTGGCAGTGGGAGCATTGAAAAGGTACATTTCTGATTTTTTTTTTTTTTTTGCTGTTTCACAGAGAGTTTTATTCTTAGTACAGAATTCTGTCCTTAATCCCTGTATCAGAAGCTTTCCAAAGCCTGTAAGGTTTTTCTGGGCGTGATTGATGAGACTTCAAATGCACTTCAGTGCCAAAAGAAAACCTTTAAAATGCGGTACCAATGTCCCCAGAGCTGCTCTGCTTCATTTCCCCTGTGGATTTTAAGTAAAAATATACATCAAATTTCCTCCAACAGGTGCAATTTATTTCTAGGCTTAGGTTTTGTTTAGGAAGGGGAAGTTCTGACGTGAAAAATTCTCTTTCTGTTTCACTTTTGGCGTGAAAAATTCTCCTTTTTTCACTTCTGATGTAAAAAATTCTCCTTTGTTTCACTTCTGACGTGAAAATTTTTTTATTACAGTTCTGATGTGAAAAATTCTCTTTTTTTACCCCAGTTTTCTTTTTTGCAGCTCTCACATGAAAAATTGGGGTATTTTACAGTTCTGATGTGAAAAGTCCTCCTTTTTTTCAGTTCTGACGTGAAAAATCCTCCTTTTATAGTTCTGAGGCGGAAAATTCTCCTTTTATAGTCCTGGGGTGAAAAAATCTCCTTTATTTAGTTCTGAGGTGAAAAATCCTCTTTTTTTTTAGTTCTGATGTGAAAAATCCTCCTTTTTTAGTTCTGACGTGAAAAATCCTCTTTTTTTTAGTTCTGACGTGAAAAATCCTCCTTTTTTAGTTCTGAGGCGAAAAATCCTCCTTTTTCCAGTTTTGATGTGAAAAATCCTCCTTTTTCCAATTTTGATGTGAAAAATCCTCTTTTTTCCAGTTTTGATGTGAAAAATCCTCCTTTTTTCCAGTTTTGAGGCGAAAAATCCTCCTTTTTTTCCAGTTTTGAGGCAAAAAAATCCTCCGTTTTCCAGTTCTGACATGAAAAATCCTCCTTTTTTTCAGTGCTGGGGTGCAAAATTCCCCTTTTTTAGTTCTGAGGTGAAAAATTCTCCTTCTTTTAGTCCTGGGGTGCAAAATTCTCCTCTTATAGTTCTGAGGTGGAAAAGTCTCCTTTTTCAAGTCCTGGGGTGTAAAATTCTCCTTTTTTTCAGTTCTGACATGAAAAATTCTCCTTTTTTCAGTTCTGACTTGAAAAATCCTCCTGTTTTCCAGTTCTGAGGCGAAAAATTGTCCTTTTTTTTTCAGTTCTGATGCAGAAAATTTTCCTCAGAACTGAAAACCCTCCTTTTTTTAACTTCTGGCATGAAAATTCTCTTTTTTTTTTTTTTTTTTTTTTTTTTTTTTTTTTAATTTTTTTTTTTTTTTTTTTTTTTTTTTTTTTAAAGTTCTCCCCTGACAACTTCTAAAACTTCTCTTCTCTCGCAGTTTTTCGGGCCTTACACCAACACCCCCCTGCTGGAGACGGACGAGCGCTACCGGCACTTGGGGTTCTCCGTGGACGACCTGGGCTGCTGCAAAGTCATCCGGCACGGGCTGTGGGGCACCCACGTGGTGGTGGGGAGCATCTTCACCAACGCCGAGCCCGACAGCCCCATCATGAGGAAACTCAGCGGAAACTGAGCCCCCCCTTTTGGGCGGCCCTTTTTGACCGGGTGATTCTCTCTCAAGATTTCTCTCCTCTTTCAAGTGTTCTTAGGTAATTAATAAAGTAGCTGTTATTTATTTTTAATCTTCATGCTCGCCACGTGCGACTCGGGCAGCATCCCAGCTGATGCTTTTGTGCCACGTGGGGTGTCAAGCTGTGAGTTTCCTTCGTCTTTGATGAGTTTAAATACTTAGCTGTCTTTTTGAATTTTGTCACGCGGGCCACGCCTTTCAACCATTTTGTCTTTAGGTGTCCAACAAATTTTTGCTTAGGAATAAAAATCCTGATGCCACTGAAGTTTCCAGGAATTCTGCCACTTACTGAAATCACTAAGTGGCAAAAAATAAAGTAAAATAATAAGTCACCTCATGTGACTCGAAAAGATGAATTGGCAGCATCCAAACAGATCCTTTTGTGCCATTTTGGGTCCGTTTAAACATAGTTATCTGCATTTTTTTTTTAATATTATTTAATATCACACCAGCCACACCTCTCAACCATTTTGTCTTTAGGTGTCCAACAAATTTTTGCTTAGGAATAAAAATCCTGATGCCACAGAAGTTTCCAGGAATTCTGCCACTTACTGAAATCACTAAGTGGCAAAAAATAAAGTAGGATAAGTAAACAAGTCACCACGTGTGACTCAAAGAGATGAATTGGCAGCATCCAAACAGATCCTTTCGTGCCATTTCCTTCTTCCTGAGTTGAAATATAATTATCTGCATTTCCTCTTTTAATATTATCACACAGGCCACACCTCTCAACAGTTTTGTAATAAAAATCCTGATGCCACGGAAATTTCTAGAAATTTCTGCCACTTGATCATCGTTTCAGTAAGTGGCAAAAAAATTGTGGAATAAGTAATAAAAGTAATAAGTCACCATGTGTGACTTGAAGAGATGAATTGGCAGCATCCAAACAGATCCTTTTGTGCCATTTTGGGTCCGTTTAAACATTAGTTATCTGCATTTTTTTTTTAATATTATTTAATATCACACCAGCCACACCTCTCAACCATTTTGTCTTGAAGTGTCCAATAAATTTGTGCTTAATAATAGAAATTTCTAGGAACTCTGCCACTTACTGAAATGAGTAAGTGGCAAAAAAAAAAAAAAAAAAGAGGAATAAGCAATAAAACTGTGCTCCCAGAATATAGAATTTTATAAAAACTATGGAAGTTGATACTTGACTAATCAGTTATTCCCTGTTTTAAAATGAGAATATTGAGATAAGATCTAAATACAAGTAATACTTTAGTAAGGAAATTTTGACTCTACTGCTACATCTACAGACTCCATAAAAAGTCATAATTACTCTAAAAATCAGTCATCTCTTATTTTTTTTTTTTTTGTCTTCATGGTGCTTGGGATTTATTTTCTCAGTGTTAGCTAAATATATTTAATTAGTTTATATATATAAAGGTAATTTAAAGTTGCTTTTGTAACTTTCTTAGGTCATTAAATACAGGGGGAAAAAAAAAAACCCACAAGATAATAGGGCAATGCCTGGATATCATCATTGTTTTCCTGGACTCTGATGCAATTTAGACTTGCCTCTGGAATTTTGAAATGCCTGGGCAAAGAGCAATTATGATCACTTAGTGCAATTATAAAAGGAGGGGTTCAGTAAATCAGTTCAGGGCTCTTCAGGGATCACAAAAACAATCAGATCCACTGAAGGAACTGGGGGAAGAACAGGGAAGACATTTCAAGGCACCAGGAATTTCAGTGCCTTGGAATTTGGCCCCGGAGCTGAAGGAATAAAGTAGATTTTAATCTCGTCACAGATTTGGGGCCATTCTTTATTACAGCCCTGCAGTCATGTGACAATGGGAGTCCTTAAAAAGTTGAATTTGGAGGCTAAGGACTGCCCAGGATGAGGATCCAGGGGCTCCAGCTCCCTGTCAGGCAGCCAGGGATTTTATCCTCGTGTCTTTTCCCGGTGTTCACCAACAACATGGATTCAACCCTCGTCCTGGGGGTGTGTGGTTCTTCTGTTCCCTCCTCAGGGCTCAGCCACTTCCCACCAAAGTCCTTCTCTTGGCTTTAATGGCTTTAGAACCAGATCCTTTCCCAAGTGCCTGCACCTGTCCTGGGGAACTTGGCTGGATCAGGGAGGTGGAAGTGAGGAAGAGTCCACCCTGAATTCCCTCCCTAAGCCAGCAGTTCCAAGGTTCTCCTGCCATCACTTGGCTCTCCCCTGCCCACATTCCAAGGTTTCAAGCCTGTGGCTCTTGGGGCAGGAGTTGTTTTTCCCTTTGTCCTGGAATTTGTGCTGTTATTTCCAGAGCCCCAGTTCTTGCCCTCGTGCTCTGCTGTCCAAGAAAAAAAAAAAAAACCAACTGTTACTTCAAAGCCTTTTGTTGCTGTTTTATTTCCTCACTCTCGTCAGGAGGATTAAAAAAGCTTGAGAAGCTGCAGCGTGTGTCCTGTCTGTTTGCAAAATAAATTATTTTGGTGAGCGCAAACGCTGGGATAAAAGAGGGGTGGTATCTTGCTGGGCTCGGGGAGAGCTTTGTTGGATAAATATTAGAAGAATAAAGTTGTGAAACAGCTCATCTCTATTGTAAATACCCCGCAAACTTGATGATATCTTTCCTTCAGGTGGCTCTGCTGTACTTTCTGTGTTTTAGGAAGGGTGGGAGCTGCCAGGTTATTCCAGTTGAGCTTGGGATGCTCATTTTTTAAATTCCTGTGAAGTTTTGTCCCATAAAGGACTTTTCCTTGTCAGAAACCTCACTGGAAATAATTTGCCTTCACTGATGTTAATGCTTCGTGCCAGGATTTGAGGGCAGGGATGATTTCCTGATACTTTTCCAAGCAGAACTTTCTCCTATGTATTAATTCCCAAAAGAGCTATTCCAGTTCTATTCCCCTCCCATCAGAAGAGACCAAACTGTGTATTAATTAACTATATTAATATACTAGGAAATAAAACTCCTTGACTACAGTATAACTGAGCTGAAAATAAAAACCAGAACAACTTTCAGAGTTATAAAAAATTAATTCCTTCCTGGGGTAAAGAAAGGTAAGGTCACATTTTCCTCCCTAATCATCTTCTGCTGGGAATTCTGACTATTAGTGGTGGGACACAGCAATTGCAATAAAAGAGATATTTTTGGACCAAAAATGGGGAATCCCAGGATGGTTTGGGCTGGAAGGGACCTTTTAAAGTCCATTTAATTCCAACCCCCTGCCATGGGCAGGGGCACCTTCCACTCTCCCAGGTTGCTCCAAGCCCTGTCCAACCTGGCCTTGGACATTTCCAGGGATGGAAATACACAGCAAAATCCCTGCAGTTTATTTGAAATAAAATAAAAATAATTAAAATAAATTATTCCCTTTCCCCAGGGCTAATTTAATTCCTATTAAAGGGCCGAAGAACTGAAGTTTTGACCCTGCCATCACAACCTTTGGCCAGAGAACTTCATCAGCCATCCAGACCAATTTTGAGCACTGATTCTCTGCCACTCTAGGACCCTTATTTTAATTTTTTGGGGCAGTTTTCCAGCTGTTTTAACCAATCTCAAGTAGCCAGCAGAGCTGCTCTGATTCCCTCCCATCAGGGCCCAGCTGATTTTTGATGCAGCAGGGGAAGGTTAAACTTTGCAGGGGGTGCTGTTCCACATTTGTGCCCCTAAATTTCCTGCAGCCTGGCACTGGTTTAGTGGGATTTTTCTCTAAATCCAAGAGCTACATGCCCAGCTCTTAAAAGAGCAATTTTTAGCTGGGCAAAGCTGCACAAAACACCAAACCAACCCCTCCCTCACCCAGGTGGTTACTGGTTTTTGGCAGGTGGGGGACTGGGGCTCAACGTTCTGCAGCTTTGGGGTGATGGCACTCCCTGATCCTGCCCTTTCCCCTCCTGCTGCTCCTCTAATCAGCACAAACCCCTCAATAATCACTGCCCATATTACTAATTATTAGTTAATTACGTCTGCCCCCCTCCCCTGACAGCTTGTCCCCATCAAAAAAAAAAAAACAAACCTGTAGTGGGGTGTTTTTAGTGAGCTGCTCAACTAAATCCTGCCTCTCCCAAGAGGAATTCATCCCAAATTTCGTTGCCTCCACGCAGGTAAATTGTGTCTGTGAGATGCTCTGAAAATAATTTAAATGACTCTCAAATAATTCCAGTTGCTCTGTGAGTGTTTGGGGTTTGAGGCAGTGAGGAGCCTGTGAAAGCCCTACAGGTTTTGGAGGGGATTATTAGTTGGAGGAGAAACAAAGCGCTGGAGTGGAGCTGAGGTGGTCATTCCGTTCTTTCCTTTGGTTTTCTCGCAGCATTTTGGTGTATTTCTCTTTTTTGCCCAACAGACTGTGAGCAATTCCTCCTCTTCCATAGGCGTGTCCTGGCCTCATTCTTCTGGAAAAATGTATGGATATGTTGTGTATAAATCTATAAATATATTAAAAATAAATAGAATACATAAATATATAAATAAATACATCATAAATATAAATTTATACATAAATACTGTTAACTGTATTAATAATTAAATTAATAGTAATAATTATATTATTACACTTATATAATAAATAAATAATTATAAATATAATATTAAAATTCCTAAAATAATCTAATATTAAATTATTATATATTTTTAATATTTATAAATATATATTGTACTTATAGACAGGTGGATACTCCCATGGGTGTCTGGCTCTTGCACGAGTTGAGGGTTTATGTGGATGCACAGAAAAGCTGAAAAAAATTATATATTTAATTGTAGAAATCACCTATTAAAGAGGATTTTCACAAAATAAAAAATAATAGATGGGGTTGTTATTATTATTAATATTTAGCAATTTAAAAATAATTCCCCTCTCCGTCAGCTTTTTCTTGCTGGTCAGGTTTTCTGTCGCTGATGCTGGAAAATTGCTGCAGATTCAGGGAATATTTGGTGTTGGAAGGGGCCAGGGGAGGTGCTCAGGCCTGACCTGGGAGTTTAAAAAAACCCACTGAAATATCAATGAGCAGAAAATCAATAAAATTATTTAAAAAAAAGGTTCTAAAAACCATCTCAATGACAATTTAACTGAAAAAAAAAAAAAGCTCTGTTATTCCCAAATTGAAGTGTAGGGAATGAGGTTTTCTGCTGCACAGTAAACACTCCCAGGATAAAAAATACCTGATTTTTTTTTTTCCTCTGGATAAATATCCCACCATCATCCAACAAGGAGAGAAACTGGAGGAAAGCCAAAGGCGGGGGGTGGAATTTGAGGACCCAAATCCACATAAAACCCAAGACTGTGGCTTTTCTCTTCCCCTGGGCTCCTCTGGTAAAGTTAAAAGAGTCTTAATTCACCTTGGAAATGGTTAATTCTTGCTTTTATTTATTTATTTTATTTTTTTGGCTGGAAATGGAGAAGTTGGTTGGGATCCCCCCAAAATGTAAATATTAGGGAATAATAATTGGGAGGTTCAGCATCACTTTGGCTGCCTCGGGTGGATTAAAAAGGGGTAACAAAGTCTTTGTAATCCAAAGATGCACCAAATACTAAACCACCAGAGAAGCTAATTTTTGGGGGGGGATTATTGGGAATTTCAGCAGCTCTAAATCCACGTTCCATAGTTAACCTGTGCTACCATAAATTGCATTTATTCCACTTTTAAAAGCTGTGGGAATCGGGGCTGTGCAGAAACTCTGGGAGCTGCCTCTGGCTTCTTCATCCACAACCAACCTGGAAACCTTTCCATCAGCTCCAGGAAGTCGTTTCCATCCCAGGAATTGTTGGTTTCAGGAGTGGAAATGAGAAGTTAGGCCACGAAACACGCAGGGACTAAATTAATGGGACAGCACAATTATGGAGAGAACGTGTTTTCCCAGAGCAGGGAAAGCAAGATCCAGGGGTCACAAATGAAACAGGAACCTCCTCAGACTGATTTTATTAAATAATAACTGTCCAACGTGAAACAATTTGTACCAAATAACCAGGGGAGCTCAACAAGGTGGGGAGGGAACCACGGGAAAGATTCATTAACTACAGGGAGAATTAAAATTCCCTAAATAGAGCTCAAAAAATTCTCTAAATACAGCTCAATTTTTGTTTTTGTTTTTTTTTTTTGGCACCTCGTGGAAGATCAGGGCTGTTGAGGACCATTGGATCAGACACCACCTCACACACGGTGTGCGTATTTAAAACATTTATTTATACAAATGTACAGCATTTACAGGAGTTAAAAAAAAAAAAAAATTAGACATTTCAAAGCAGTGTCACAGAGAGAGAGAACCTAAAAAAATAAATAAGGGGCAGCTCAGCATTGGTGATCCAACATTTTATCGAGAAATCCACCCGTTCCTGCAGCTCAGCCCTGGTGGTTACACAGATTTTTAGCCCGGAGGTCTCACAGGGGAGGGTTTAAAATAACAAAAAAAAATTGCAAAATATGTATTTTGTGTGAAGGGAGGCTGCCTCATTCTCCCCCAGCCCCTCAGTAGCTCCAATTCCTTAAATTCCCGAAATCCAGAGGAGGGGACAGGCTGCAAGGAGGCTGCAGGGTTGATTATTTTTGGGGAATCTTCAGGTTAAACTTGCATAGGACAGATTGCAACAACCCCTTTTAATATTGGAGATCTGTGAGCAAACCCCAGGACTGAAGGGACACCACACTCTGTGTGAGGTCAACCAGCAGCTCCCCCTCAAAAATGGTAGTTTTATATTAAAAAAAAAGGAAAATAAACAGTGTTGGAAGGTAACATTTACAGTAGTGTAATATATAAGTTTTATATATATATATATATACATTTTTTTTAATAATAACACACTGATGTTTCCAGCCTTTCCTTCCCCAGAGGAATCACCTGCAGGTCAGTGGGGAGCGAGTGCTGCTCCTGATCCTCCTCCTCTGCTTCCAACAAACCTCCCAGGAACACAAATCCAAAGGCCACAAAACCCAGGACGACCCTTTGCCTGCCCAGATCTGCAGATTCCTCGTTTTTCAGGGTATCCCACACGTGGATTCGACTCGTTGGGACTCTCCAGGAACCCCTGAGACAGCCTTTGGCTTCCAGCTCTCGCTTTCCTTCATCTGCATTTCACTGTAACTCCCCCCCCCAAAAAAAAGCACTTCAGAGCAAAAAACACACTGGAACTTGAGCTCGAGTTAGCTTGGAGCCCGAGTAGCAAAAAAAAATCAGCTCATGAAAGAAAAATTTATGGCTCTAAAGGTGTAAAAAAAAATTAATTATAAAACAGTTTGGTTTAACTTGAAGCGAGTCCACGACACCCTGCTTTCATTACTGACTTTGCAAACAAAGTTGATTCTTTATATATATATATATATTTCTGATAATTTATATATTACAGGCTCACTGACTTGCAAAACACCCTTTTTTTTTTTTTTCCTGGCAATATCAGCATTAAGAATCTTTTCAACACTCTCAGACCTTACTCAACATAGAAAAATAAATATTGCATCCGAGACTTCCAAGCAAAACAAGCAACGCAGGGCACCAAAACACAGCTGGAATAGCCCAGACTTCATTAAATAAAATAACAGAGCTATTCAGGATCGATTTTTTTCTCCCTCATACTCTAGGGCTGGGTGCCAAAATGGGAAAACATCGTCCTAGAACAGGGTGGAGATGATGGTTGGTGACCACCGGCACCTCAACGTGCAGACCTACCAGCTCTCCATCCTCCTCACACCTGAGGATTGGGGATCACACACACCTCTAATCCCACCAGAACAAGGATTTTTGAGAGTCCTGCTGGTTCAGTTTATGAAATCCAGGGATTTTCTCGGGGGGGGGCCATTGGACACCTCAGCAGAAGCACCTTGGGGCAGCACCGGCTGCTCCAATCTCCTGCTGCTTTCCCTGGAGCTCATCCCTTCCAGGTTGCTGCTTCCTTGCTGCGGATTCCTGCCCTCTCCACGAGGGTCAGGAGGTGTGGGGACACTGCCAGTGTGTGTGTTATTTATTTTGGGTTCTCAAGCAGGTTAAGGAGACACCGGAATTAGTGCACAAAGGGACGTGTCCAGTGAGTAAGCGACGATGTGAGCAGGGATGTGGTACTTGGAAAGAATATTTCTTCACAGATACAAGACAGACATCAACAAACATTAGGCTGGACTCGGTGTCTTTGAGGTCTTTCCCAACCTAAACGATTCTGTGAAGATTCTGGGAATATTTTCCACCAGTTTCTTCGGAAAAGCAGCGTAGGAACGTGGAGGTTTTGAACCCATCCCGACCCCAGGCTCGGGGAGTCCGTGATGACCAAGAAACCAGGAGGAAAAAACCAGCCTTTCAGAGCCAACTCCAGAGCTCCAGCTCCACAGGGAGAGAGGTTGGATGTCCAGGAGATGTTCCCACCCGGCTCAGCTTCCCGGCCCGGCCACCTGTGGCGTTGTCACCCAGAGCTGTGCCATTGTCACCCACTGCTGGGCCACCAGCGCCAGCCAGAGGCACAGTGTGGTCAGCAGGACACGAGGGGACGGTCTCTGGGCCTTGCTGAGGGGGGACAGGGTGGTGAACACGGCGTCTGAGGAGTTCTTGGGCAGGGGCAGGTTGCAGATGCTGCCTTCGCAGCAGGACGTGCACACCTGGGAGCAACAGGTCACAGCTCGGTTATTTGGGGAAGAAAAACATCAGGAATATCATGGAGATTATTTTTTAAAGGAGCACAGTGGCCAGTCTAAACATTTTCCCTTTTTTTCCCCTCTCCCTCCCTTCTTTTTTAATCCAGGATCCACTGGCCACGGAACCAGTCAGATTCTGTCAGACCCCAATTCCCAATTATTACACAGAATAAAAAGGCAGGGTTTTTTTTTTTTCTGCTCTACCTTGTACTCTTCATGCTTTATGTAGGTGCACCCCGTGGACAGACAGTCCTCCAGTGGCACACAGCGTTTGGTGACAGACACACTCTCTCCAGTGACTTTCATCATGTGTTGGCTAAAGCAGTACCTTGTTCCTAAAAAAAAAAAAAAAAAAAAAAAGCAGAAAAAAATGTGCTTATCTGTCAAATTCCATTTTTTTCTGATAGGCTGCAAATAGGAAGAAATAGGGAAGAATTATTGAAAAAAAAAAAAGAAAATATTCCCAGTACCTGTTTAGGTCTGAAGCTTGTTTTCATTTCGGTGGAAATATTTAATATGCAAATATTTTCAGTGTACAACAGAAATATTTTTAGATAATATATTTTATATATATAGATATGATTTTTTTTTTCATGCAGCATCATTAATTCTGTGGTGCATTTCAAGCCCCCATTCCTGCCCAGCCCTGGTTCCTGATGGGCAAACCCTGCATTCCTCTCATGTTTTAGGCATTCAGCAACATCCCAGCGAGACTGTGGACTCAACATATCATCCTTTAGGCAATAAACCCCCCCCCCAGATATCTGTCATATCTCTGACCCGCTCTTGACTCAGGTGTGATATCACACAACAGGCTTAACTTATCACCCGAAGATGGAATCGCTCCATGGGCTGTTTGCCTTCATTCCCAGGGCTTTTGATGTGTTTTCCAGCCTCTCCTGCCCTAAAAACTCCCAGTTTTCCCCCCAGGAGAGCACCCTCTCTGCCCCAGCTGGGAGCTCTTCCCAGGACTTTGCCTGGAAGGGCCATTCCCAGCCCTTCTGAGCTTTATCGTCCCTGCTCTGGCACTGGAATTTCCCCCTGACCAGTCCCAAATAAAGCCTCCAACACCCCATAACTCTTTCAGGGTTCTTTCATCCTTCCTTCCTTCCTTCCTTTCCTTTTGAAAATACGGTGCAATCATCTTGGAGATAACGGATTTTCCTCCTGCAAGGCTACACAACAAATCCCCAATCGACAATAAAATCCACTCAATTCCAACTAAAAATCAACTTTCACTCTCTTGTCCAGGCATTCAGGGATCGAGCCAGAGGACACTGGGAGAGCCCAGAGCAAAGTAGAGGAGAGGAACATCAGGCCCTCCTGCCCAGAGGGATGGAGGAGGAACTCCAGGCCCAAAAATTTTACCATAAAAACAACAGAGAAATTCAGAGCAATCAGAATCGAACGCTGCAGCATGAAAGTCGATGCTTCTAAGTAATGGGGATGCTCTGGGCACACCAAACACACAGTTTTCCTCCCCCTTAAACCACCATTTTTCACTGATTTCACTTCCCAGGTCAGAATTAGGTTGGATCAAGTCATTCCTGCTGGTTGTTTCTAAAGGCAGACCCTGGAGTCACGCCCTTCTCCTTGCACAGAGCCACCTAAACTACCCCTTCTCCTGTCAAAACAGGATCTGGGGAATATTTGTCTCATCCCATGCCAGGCAGCCTGAGCTCTTTTATTGGTGTTGTTGCTGTGCTGATTTCAGCTCAAAGGAAACCAAGTGTGGGACAGATAACGTGCTGCAAACACATCTGTGTCCCCACAGGGCAGGTCAGAGCCTCCCCTCCTTCCAAAGTAAATATTTTCTGAGGGCTCTTGTCCCAGAACAGACCAGACCCAACTAAAGGAGCTTCATAGGTGGATAAAATCTTAATGTCTTGTGAGTGTCTCAAAAGGAGTGGGAAGGGAAGGGGAGATCTGGGGATCTCACCACTACCTGGGTATGATATTTGAGTGCCTGTATCCCAAAGGTTTTTCTGAGCTGTTCCGAAATTCAGACACCCAGGGGAGTTAGGAGAGCAAAACATTGAAAAATATCAAAACTGCAGCCTCGGTTGCCCCAAGTGTAGGTTGTGTGCTCGTGAACACAGCCAGGACCAGTCCTGTACTCCCCAGTAAGTGAAACACAACCCTTAAAAACACAGCCCTGGGAGGGTGGGCAGGCCCTGGCACAGGTTGGGCAGAGAAGCTGTGGCTGCCCCTGGATCCCTGGAAGTGCCCAAGGCCAGGCTGGACTGAACTCTGAGCAACCTCCTCCAGTAGAAAGTGTCCCTGATGGAACAAGAAGGGCTTTAAGTCCCTTTGAACCCAAACCGTTCTGCGATTCCAAGACCCCATAAAATAAACATCACCCCGATTTAATCCCCAGCTGAACCAGAGGAGTGCAGGGCAAGAGATGAAAGTCCTAAACTTCATCCAGCACAGAGACAGAAAAGCTTAAAGGATTACTCCTATCGCTTCCACATCTTCCTTTGCTGGGGAGACCCGACAGGCAGGAGCAGAACCACCAGATCTGGGAACACGGGGGGGGCTCAGTGTGGCAGGGACGGGGAGCAGCAGTGGGAAGGTGGGTTTAATTAACCGCTAATTAACATTACCTCTGGGACAGTAGACGTCCGGAGCCCAGCGGTTGCACTCGTAATTATCCGCGGCCCTCTCGCAGGTGAAACACTTAAATCCCCGAGGATACGGCGTGGCTGGAAGGAATGGATAAAACATGGAGTTAAAGGGAGCCTGGCAATCTGCTTCCATGGGGCTTTCCACGGGCACACAGCAACAGTTGTTCTCTTTTTTCCCCCTCTCTCTGTTCTTCTACAAATATACCCCCGTGAGCATCAGCGGGTTGAGCCTGAGTTGGAAAACTTCGTCACCTACAGCAGCGCAGGGGCACTTTTGGGGACGTATGGACTCATTTCAGACGTGGTTTTACCCAGCAGGAGTGCCCACTGCTGACTTCAAAGGGAGTTAATGTGAGCAAGGGATACTTACTCCCCTGGAATCAGAGCTCACGTCCAACACTGCCTCTGTGTCGGTGCTGATAACAAAATATCAGGTGGATTAAAGTAGCCTGGAAATTGTCCCACCGAGGAAAAGAGCTGCTCCTGTTGAAGGCTGATGTTCCCAAAGGGAAGAAAAAGCACTGTGCTGACCCTCCAAGCTTTCTCCAGCAGCCTCTGTCCTAATTTATCTTGCCAAACAAAGAGCATTAATTCCTTAAGTGCTCTCCTGGCAGCGATTCTGGAACACCTCCAGTGCTTCTCCAAGGTGCTGCCACCTTCTCAGACGCCAAACGGTGAACAGGTCGTGTTTATCTTCGTGGGGTGAAGTAAACTGAACCTTCACAGCCCCATGGATCACATCTTAAAACCCTCCCTCCTCTTCCTCTCTTTCCCTTGGGAAGCTCTCAGCTCAGTCCCTGTTTGTGTATGAGCCCCCTGGGAGCATCTCTGGTGGGGCTGGTGCTGCCCTCAGGGAACAGCTTGGGGTGGGACAACACACCAGCACAGACTAAATCCATCCCTCTCACCCTTGACTGCTGGTTGTGGTTAGGGTGTAAGCCAGGAGTTTCATCCTGCTTGTGCAGAATATAAGTTTTCACTCAGTGGTGAGTTTTCTCTGGGAAGAGATAGCAGGGAGAGCTCCACAAGCCCCCTCTTCTCATGGAATTCGATAGGTTTGTGTCTGATAAAGTGAATAGACCAGTGAGAGTCCAGGGAAGATCTGAAGGTGTCCAACTGCTGTAATGTTGCTCCAGGAGCTGCTGAGACAGAGCCAGGACCTGTGGGTGCCACAGCTGCTCATGGTGGTGTTTGGCCCTTTCTCTCAGCTATCCATGTGCTTGGGGTCAGAGTGGTCATGGAACTTGGCCAGGGAGATCACTGAGGGACAGAAAACAGTGAACTAAAGGCTCCTGACATGCCCAGCCTGTGACCCCTACCTGTCCTATAAACCCTGGGCTGGTTTTACACAGACCCATGGAATGCTTTGGGGGCTGGGAGGGGAATGAGGGATCGTTTTGTTCCACCCACCTTCCACTAGCCCAGAGGTTGCTCCAAGCCCCATCCAACCTGGCCTTGAGGAGAACTCGGGTTCTTCTTCCACATCAGCTCTGCTCCCCGAGTGTGGGGCTGTGTGTTTAACCTTTGCTCCGCTCTCAGCTCCGCCCTAACACGTGTTTGCCCTCGTCCTTGTCCCTGCCCTCGCCCCCCCTCACCCCCCCAGAGGTGACTTACTGGAGGGGTGGAGGTAGACGATGTCCTTGCGGGTGAAGTCGCGGCCGTGGGCGCCGAGCAGGCCGAGCAGCAGCAGCAGCAGCAGCAGCCAGGCCGGCGCAGGCGGCGGGGCCATGGCCGGGTGAGGACGTGCTCATGGGCAGCCCAAACACCTCCCCTGGGCAGGAGCAGAGAGCAGGGTGAGCACAGCAAAGCCACCACGAGCAGACACAATCTCAACAAAGGCATGACCACACAGTCACAGAATCACAGGATCTGCTGAGCTGGAAGGGACCCACGAGGACCATCCAGTCCAACCCTGCACAGAACCAGCCCCAAGGGTCACCCCCTGTGCCCCAGAGGATCATCCCAACTCTCCTGCAGCTCTGGCAGCCTTGGGGCTGTGCCCACTGCCCTGGGGAACCTGTTCAGTGCCAACCACCCTCTGGGGGAAGAACCTTTCCCTGAGATCCACCCTGAGCCTGCCCTGACACAGCTCCAGCCATTCCCTGGGGGCTGTCCCTGCTCCCCCCAGAGCAGAGCTCAGTCCTGCCCCTCCTCTGCCCCTGCCCAGGCAGTTGGAACTGCAGGGAGGTCTCCCCTCAGTCTCCTCTTCTCCAGCTGAACACACCAAGTGCCCTCAGAGTCCTCCCACAGCTTCAAATCAAGGCCCTTCCCCATCCTCACTGCCCTCCTTTGGATGTTCCCCTGAGCCTTCCACTGCCCTCCCATGGGCCAGGCAGTGGTGTTCATAAATTATAAACAATTCATTTAAATTAATTAAACGAATCAAATGAAAATAAAGAAATAAAATTAATTAAGTTACGTGAATAAATTATAAATTATTAAAGAGTTATTTGGCATCGACATCCCTGGCACCGCCCGGGAAAAGGACGTGGACAAGCCCTCTCCTGGCTGGAGAGCTGCAAACAGGAGCCAAGGACAAGGGTGGGCGACTTTGCCACTGTTTACAACTTAAACAGTCAGGGACTGGTTGGCAAAAACCTCAGCAGGATGTTGGTAAAGCCATGAGAGACCTGCTGTGACAGGATTTAACAGATGTTAGAGAATAACACACAGGGTTGGGATTTTTCTTCCCACCCAGGCTGACCAAGAGATCTGCAATAACCCAGGTACTTCCTAAGCACCTTTGAATTTGTGCTAACCCTTATTTAACAAATATTTTTTTGTTGGTTGTTTTTCCAGGAAAGATGTGCCGGGGGTGGGGACCTTCCGCCTCTGCCTCCCAATGTTTGTGTCACAGCAGAGACCACACAGGCCCAGCAGCACAGAGGCCACCAGGGATGGCTGTCACTGTCCTTGCTCTGGTGTGCAAACAGCTCTTTTATTAAAAAACACGGTGGAATCCATAAAAATAGCGAGGGGAGCAGATAATGCACAACGTGGTGCATCAAACCTTGTTGGTTTAACCTTCTCAGAGAAGGAAATGCCAGTTTTCCCTGGGTTTACTCCACAGATGCCTATCAGCCAGGGGGAAATGAAAGCCTGATTGGAAGCAGACAGGAAGCAAAACAAACCTCTCCCAGCCCTGTGGAAGATGAAAGAAACGGGTCCAGCAGCTCCACGTGGGGTCTGGAGGGAAAGCTCACGGCAAAGCCACTTGGAGCACATCTGGGTGAGGGAGTTCATGGATTTGGGACTGAATTGTCCTGAATTTTGGAGTTCCTCTCCATCACCACACACAGATCAGCCTCTCTGCTCGTAGCTCAACCAGAGCCACTCAACCCAACATGTGTAATTTGTTTAACATTCATACCCTTAAGATAACAAATGTTTGGAGGAGACAGGGATCTTTGGATTATTTTTTTAATCCCAAACAACACAAGGCAGATTTTACAAGCCACCAGTGTTAATTTCCAGACATCAGCAGCTTGCAGTGAAAACGTGGGTTCGCAGCTGCGACCCCTGAGCTACGGCCCCAAAAAATTGGGATTCGCGTCCCAGACAGAGGAGCTCCTTCACATCCCCAAAGAGAGGAGCTCATCACAGCTCAGTGCTAATCAGCAACCAGTGATAAACACATTAGCAACATAAAGGACAGAGCCCCCCAACCATTAAGGTTGGAAAAGACCTCTAAGATCATCGAGTCCCACCATTATATTTTAACCAATATTTTAAGCTCAAACACAACAAGGTGAAAATAACGGCGTGAATTCCTCCCAAGTGTTGACAAGACGAGAATCTGTTGGGTTTGCTCATCCCTGCCACAAAAAGCTTTTGTCTTTGCAGAGCTGATCAAAGCCTTCCAGTCGAGGACACTGGTTTTGCCTCTCTCGCACCCGCTCCCTTCTGTGGGACTGGCTGCTGATTCAGCCCATCTCCAAACCCTGTCAGCACTTGCCTACTCATCAGATTCAGAGGACAAGTGGCTGTTAGTCCTGCCTGAAAGGGTGGCAGAAATCCTCCAGCTGCTCTCTAAAAATACTCACATCGTGCCTCTCGTAATTGCAAAGAGCTTAATTGCTGACACCGCTTCTAATGAGGGAGAACTGTGGATGAATACGGAGAATTCACTTCCCATCTCTGATTTTGTGCATCTGGAACATTTAATTACAGGCAGAGGATTCAAGTTGAAAACTCCCTGGGTTACAGAATGATCCAGGGCAAAGCCAGCAGGGCCAATATTTTGAATTATGGCACTCAGTGGAGTGGAAAGTCCTTAGTGACAAAACACCTCCCCCCCTGCTCATTCCACACACACACAGGTAGCATAAAAATAGGTATTTCTGCATTAACTACTGTCAGAAACCCAAATACTCAATATTTCATTAATATTTTGAGCATAGCCACATGGGTTCACATAGTTCTCTCTGTCTTGGGGGTGAAACACAGGTATAAACATGTGACATCTACCTGAGAAAACGTTCATTGACGTTTAAGCCAGTAACGACATTTCAGAGAGGGTAGAACAGCAGGAATATTTTTAATAAAAATAAATATAACCCCCCGAAAAATCAATAAATACTGTTCAGCACACTCATCCTCTCTGGTTTTTCCACCCGTGCATAAAAATAAAATCGTATTGCTTTTAAAGGAATAGATAATATATATGGATATAAATAAATGTATATACAGATAAATATAAATGTGTGTGTATGTATATATATATATGGATGCACTGTCTTAAAACCTGAAGACATTGGACCAAAAAAAATGGGTTTAAGTCCCAAAATAATATTTTCCTGCAATTCAGGATTCTCCTCAGGAAGCTTCCATGCCCTAAGAAGCCTCACCAAGGGCACGACGACGTTTTCTTCTGCTCACAAGCCCCCTTTTAGTTCACAACCCTTCCCCAAAAGTGCCAAACTTCACAGGAAACTCGTTTTTCAAGGAATTACTGGTGCGGGATCAGCAGAGCCTCTCCAGGGCGTTGGGCACGGGTTTTTTCCTTCTGAATTAATCCCAACTCCTTTCCCAGCCTCACGGAACCTGCTCTGAACCCGACACTGCAGCTCTGGGGCCACATCACATGGCATTTAGATCAATACAGTCTGTTTGTGAAAAGGTCCTGGGCGCTGACACAGAAATCCCCGTTCAACTCCAGCTTTTCCAGCTTCCCCGGCACCTTTCAGTCGGAAAGGCATCCCCACGCCGGGATTACTCCCTTCCTGCCCTTTGCCCCGACACAGAGCTCTGGAAATGAACCACTGAAGGCCCCCGAGCAGAGCCCGGTTGCCCATTTGTCAGGTCTCATTAGGGAGGTGACATCTCGTGCTCGTTGTCACCAGCGCCGGGACAATGGAAGGTCCCCGTCCTGCAAGGAGCCCTCGGAGCGGAGGCGCTGCCGGATGGATGTCAGACTGGAAGTCTGGGGGAGAAGTGTTGATGGAGGAGACGGTTATTTTTAAGGATGTGTCTGTCCCCCCTGTCCCTCTCACAAGCTCGGCAGATGCCTCCTAACTGACCGTGACTGATGTCCATGAGCTGGGCCCACCACCAGCTGCAAGTTTGAGGGAAATACACCATTTCTGGGGGGAAAAAAAATTAAAAAAAAAAAAAGAAAGAAGAAGTCAGACACCAAATCTTCCCATATGAACACTTGGACAAAGCCAGGCATGAAGGAATTCCCAGTTCGTGGGCATTTCTGTGGTTCTCTCCATGAAAGCACAGCACAGGTTGCAGTGGGCAGTGTCTCTCCACCTCCCTGCCGTGGGAGATGGAGCATTTCCCTGCCCTCCCTGGGCATCTAATGCCGTAGGAGGTTGATGATTCTGCTGAAATCTCACCTCAACCTTCCTTCCTCCTACATCTCCTTCTTGCTGTCTAGGCCACCCTCCAAGTACCTACGAGGCTCCTACCTCATTCCATCTCGCCATTTTCGCTTATGGAAGAGCCTCCACCTCCGAACGCCCCAAAGCGACGCTTCCCTCGGCTAAACAAACCGGCAGGAGCGAGTAAAAGTTCCCTCCCAGCGGGACTCAGCGGCCCTAAAGCAGCAGGCACAGCATGTCCAAGCAGCAACATCTGTGAGAAACTGCAGAGACCTCGGCACGAGTAATTTGCTCTCGCGAATTCCGCTGCGCGGGGTCAGCTGGGCCATCCCTGCACCGCCTTAGGACGGTCATTCACCAGGGAGAAATGAAGTCCTGGGGAGCTACAAGCAGCGTGGCAAGGGCTGGAAGATTTGCTCCTGGAGGATGCAGGGTCTACCCAACGGGGATTCCTTCCTCCTCACGCCCAACCCCAGCGGGACTTCCCCAAGTAACGTCAGAATTAACCCAGCAGATTTCGCTCTTGGTTCACACGAAGCTGCAGGTTGGAGTTGCCACGGCTGAATCGACAATATTTGGGTTCATCTGCACCTCTCCACGGCTTCGGAATCCAAGCCCAGCTCTCTGCCCGTGTCGTGTCATCACTGTCCAGAGACGAATCGGAATGGCAATGGAACGTTTCCCATCTGCCGGCTGTGGATCCCAGACAACAATCCCAGAGACTACTTGCAGCTTCTCCAGCTCTAACTGTAGCTTTCCCTGTTCTCCTCTGCCCCACTTATCCTTTTTCCTATTTTTTTTTTAATTTTATTTTTGCCTGTTCTGCTCATTTCCTTAGTTCCCATCCCACGCATCAGAAAGGTCTTGAACAAAAACCAGAATTCCTATTGTTGCCTTCAGATCCAGCTTCTTTCCACGTGCCACTAAGAGG